AGGAGCGCAATGTAGACACAGATTGTGGACAACACTCTCTTCGTGTCCAACGACGCGCACCGGAAGGCGCCGCAGATCATTGTCTTGTACTTCTCGATGGCCTGATCTTTGATACGCGGACCGAGCGCTAGGCTCGACACCAACGCCTCCAACACTAATGTCTTATAGCGGGGAGCGGTTCCGATGGGATGGCCGGAGCGGACACCGCCGCCGGTGCGGCACCCGTTCAGGTATGTCTTCGTCTGGTCTGGCCTTACATTGACGGCGAACTCCTGTGTCGGGTCGTTGCGGAACTGACTCTGACAGTAGGTTTGGCCACAATTAACGCACACAAGCATTCCGTCCTCCGCCTGGATGTCGGACCCGATACACGACGGGCTTCCGCACCGTTTGGTCGCCGACTCCACCGCCGATGATGTCGTTGTCGACGACGACTGAGACGAAGACGTCGACTGACTATTGTTGCGATCGACGACCAAACCATTAACGCACTCGCAATGAGTGGACTCGTGTCCGTCCACGTGGTCCGGGTGTCCGTCACCGCCGCCGCTGTCCATCGCGTGGTTGTTGTGGTGAAGAGTAGTGGCCATCGATTGGTACCGAAGTGTGAATTAGTGTTGATTTAGGACTCAAACAAAATCATAACATTTGCGACATTCAAGCGATTCAAACGCATAGGGATCGGCAAATAGAGGTGTTTGCCATAAATTATCCCATAGATGTCCCAAGTGTTCCATATAGTGATCTTAAAAATGGCATTTATAAAAATAAATGGCTTGTCGGGCACATTCCCAGTCGGGCATATTCCCGATAAATGCCTTCAAAAATAAATAAATGCCCATCTTAACTAGATGGCAGCACCGCTTGAAAATGTTTTTAACATTAGACGTTGAAAAAATGTAGGGAATTTATAGGGCAGCCAAAATAAACGTCCGATAAATGCCAATAAATGCCCGGCATATTCCCTATAATACATTCCCATGCCATAAGCGTCTTAACCCTAGTTCCATATTATAGTAATGTAACTAACTAGTAGGGATGTTAACGGGTAAGTAGCCCAGGTTACTATTGCAGCTGCAGATCACTATACAAATGCAACTCTCATTCAATTACATCACTGTCTCAGACATGCAGTACATGTGATGCACATCAATGACGACCACTTGTCGAGCGCTATGTTGGGGGCAATTGGGGGCACTTTAATGGGCAAAATCACTATAAAGTTTGCATTAACTGTACATAAAAATAAATTTGTTTGAAAAGTACTTTTCATGTAAAGTAAATGCAAACTAATTAATTGTATTCAAGACTTTAACCCAATATTCTTCTGACACTTAGTTTTGACATAAAATATGAGCAGAAAGTGGTCTGAATTGAGAGGAGAAGTGATGTTAAGAGTAGTGATAGTGTTGTGCCTATCGGTGTCTTCGGTGAGGAGCGGATCGGATATCTGTAAAAACGGTGCGAAAATCGATTCAATGACTTATATGCCAGAGAATCAACAGATCTTCCTCACAAGCGGTGGTAACTTCTGGTTTCTGAACGACTCGTACACGCAGTCCAATACAGCCGGCGATCCATTGCCGGGTGGGTTCACCAGAGGAGACGCCGCCGTCTTCGTGGACACAATGGATATCTGCAAAGGGAAGGGAGAAAAGCTGATCCATTTGGTTGAACTCACTTCCAGTGGCAATAAAGTGATGACATATGACGTCCGCATCAATCAGTGGAACACAACCCTCGTTGACATCAGAGCGGATCCGGTCTTCTCGTCGGCCAAACTGGATCTGAACGCCAGAATCGACGCCGCGTTCGTCTACGAGAAGACTAATATCATTGTCTTTCAACACAACGAGTACTCAGTGGTCGACATAAAGAACATATGCGCCAAACCTCCCACTTCTACCGGCTTTGCGGCCAATTCGGTGACAGATATGAATATCGATCCGCAGCGACGGGTGGACGCTATCAGCTCTGGTCGCGGCTCTAAGAACGGATCCCTCACCGCAATGGATGACTCCATCTTCATGTTCCAACACCCGTACTATTGGATGATTAGTATTAATGCACTAATCAGTGGTAAAGCGACGGCCACTATAAGCTCTCAGATGGATATCTTCACCAAATTCTTCAATTTCAATAAATCCATGAATTGTCAGTCATTCGCTCCGCCGACCGAAGCGCCGATATGTCTAATTCGGTCGCCACAAGTGGCCGGACAGCAAATACCGGACACACCGATCGCCGCACCTAAAGTGCATACCGAGTATCATTGGATAGCGATAGCGATCCTTGTGTTCATCATAGGTGTGATGTCCGTTGTATTGGTTGTAATGAGCGCTAAACCTGATTCCGTGGAGAAGCTCTTCAGAAAGTGGCGTAAGTTGTCGTTCACCGCCAATGAGTTGGCCGACTTCATGAGACCCTATCACGGGGTACCGCTTACACAAGAGATAAGAAACGATGTTAGTTTGTTATTTTATATTGTATTATATACAGAGTGTATACGATATATGTCCCTATTTTATGGCATTTACATTATACATAATTTTGCTATATTGTTAAGTATTTTGTCTATCAATAACTAGTAGAATTTAAAAGCAAATAATACACGTTTAATTTGGTATGCCTTAAATAATAATGAATAAACCCTAAGTTTGCCAGGAACAATTTTGTTGTTAAAATATCAAATTCTAAATATTATTAATTTTGTGACCTAGTCTAATTCTGGATATAGTAGTTGTAGATGGTTAATATTAATTTGCTAGAATAATCATTATGTGCAATTAGTTAATTTAACATAATATTTAATTTATCGTGAGTATACTTTCCTTGGTGATTTTATTAAGTAATTAGTCTTTTCCATAGGATTTCATTAAATAATTCACAAAAATGTAAATATTTTGAAAGAATTTAAATATTGCTTTTGATATTTTAGGGTTTCAGGAAAATTAATTATTGAGTATCAGAATTTAAAGTGTAACTTTTACTTATTTGAAAACAGCCGAGTTAATTAAAATCGGTCTACAGATGCATGCTCTACACCTGATTAAGATATTGTAGTCATATAATGGTTTTCTATGGAAAAACACAGTAGGGACATATATCGTATACAGGGTGTACACTACACTATGTTTTGTAGTGTATATTATTATATAATATATTTATTTGTAGGTAAATCGTGAAGTGAAAGGTCGTAAAGTGCGACCACCACCCGAAGGGGAGGTTGTATTGAAGTTTACGTTTGAGGAGATCTACGCGATATATCAGGGAATGCAAGGCGAGGAACGGGGGCGTGTACGAGAATATGTCAAGGAGTGCTGGTGGGACAAATACGAAGATGTTCGTAGTAAGTACCGTATATCCTCTCATAAAAATACCGGTAATATTATGTGAAATCCAGTAAACGGGGGTAATCTTATCTAGGTAGCTTTAACCTATATTTAATGTTCGTCATTTTCCATATTTGAAAAATATCTTCCAGGAAAATAGTTTTGCGCCGGACAATTTTTTATATTCCTTAAAATTGGGGAATTAAGACAAAAATGTGGTCAAACGATGACCAATCGATGAATATAAATACTTTTATCGTACTTAATACATGTGCCCTAACGTGCTTAAACATAATAGAGAAGAATATTTGGTAAAATATATTTAATTAATTTAATTTGAATCATTTTGTAAATTATTTTGTAATGAAAATTTAATAATTGCGCTCAAATCACGACGTGATTCTATATGAGTGACAATCAATTCTTTGTTATTCATCAAAAACAGTATAAAAGTACTTAACTACTGTTGATCTATACTTTTTTTATACAAAGTAATATATAAAGTACAATTTATCCATAATTAAACTTAAAATAATCATGACTTTTTAAAAATATTTTCCCAAAATAAATTCCCCTTCCTACACTTTGTATTTTCCGTAATTCCCCTCTATTTTTCCTCACGGAAACATGGGAATTCATGGAATTTTCAAATTATGACGAACATTATCTATATTTAAGAGCATTATTGCAAATCACTAAAAACATATTATTGTACTTTATTATAAGTATATTTTTCTGATATTACTATTTCTTAAATATATTATTTGAATTTTATAAAATTATTTGTTATTTAAATGGATAAAAATACTTTTGAATTAAATTTCACATATGTAACTGTGTGTGAGTTTTAGTAATGGGGGTAATACTATCTAGGTAACATTACCCCTGTTTTGAAAAATCGCATTTTCACTGGATTTCACATAATAGTACCGGTATTTTTATGAGAGTATATACGGTATTTAATATTTGTTGCTCAGATAAAACTATCGCCGATGGATATCAAGTGAAACCTATTGGCCCACCGCCTCCACCGCCCGCACCGACCACCACATCAGGTCCATCGACATCGACAGCACCGCCGAAGAATGTCACAAACAAGTAAAGATCGAAAACAGCTTAATATCACTTCCGTTTGTAAAGACTTTAGATTTTTTAAAATACAAAAACAGTGAATCAAATCAAATGTGTTTTTCTATCGATCAATAAAACGATTCATATTTTCCATTGTTTAATATTTTTAAGTAGAAATTTCAATTCATATTAAAACATACATTTTTTGTTAATGAAATACTTTTGTAATCTTATTATTCTCTCAAAACACACATTAAAATTTATTTTCGATCAATTTATGAAAAACAAGAAGTAAAATGATTTATAAAAATCATAAAAAGTTTATAAAAAATATATAATATTATTTTCTTTAATGAACTTTTTTGGTGACAATGGTATAGTTGGAGCTCAGGTACCATTAGGTGCGGGCATAGCATTGGCTCAGAAGTATAGGGGAACCGATGGGTTAACCATTGCTCTGTACGGCGACGGCGCCGCAAATCAGGGACAAGTGTTTGAAGCCTATAATATGTCCAAATTATGGTCACTGCCAGTGATATACGTTTGCGAGAATAACGGCTACGGAATGGGAACGTCGGCCGAAAGGGCGGCCGCCAGTACTGACTACTATACTCGCGGCGATTATATACCTGGCCTTTGGGTCGACGGTATGGATGTCTTGGCTGTAAGTGAATGAGTGTTTGTTTGCAAATAATGTAGTAATGATTGGATTGCTATTAGACGCGAGAAGCGACTCGTTTTCTGGCGGATCTGTGCCGCAAAGGGAAGGGACCGTTCGTCATGGAAGTGGCCACTTATCGATATCACGGGCACAGATATGTCAGACCCGGGAACCAGTTATAGGACGCGCGAAGAGATTCAGGAAGTGAGACAAACGCGTGATCCCATCACTTCGTTTAAGGTGACTATCATTTTGCTTATAAGATTACACCATTGCTTATCATTACTCTTATGGTTTTGTACGCAATTATAGGACAAAATAATAAGCACTGATTTAGTGACGATTGAAGAGTTGAAAGATATCGACAACAAGATTAAGAAAGAAGTGGACGACGCGGTGGCGATCGCCCGCTCGGAGCCAGAGATAGGCGCTGAGGAACTGTATGGCGACGTCTAC